ATGTTCCCGAGAACCAGTGAGCCATAAATATTGCCTTTGTCACACAGTTGGTCCCAGAAATTCTAAGAAAATTGCAGAAACAAGAAGATTTTGAAGGTATGAATAGGTCTCAGTGGCTGGAGATCTCTCAGAAAGTGTACAATCACCATGATTCCAAAGAGGATAAAGCAGTGTAAGAAGTTGATTAAGGTGGTAGTGGAAATATTGAGAGAGACAGATGAAGGGAGACTTAAAGGTAGGGATAGAACACCCAAAGGAAAAGACAGGAAGCAACTGGGACAAAACAGTTAGACAGGGATCCGTGTACCTACTGTAAGGAAAAGGGCCACCTGGAAGAACAAGTGCCCGAACAGGAGAAGGCAAGAAGAGCAAGAAGGACACCCAGTCTTCCAATGAGGAGGCCTGATGGGCCTGGGACTCCATTTATTGAGCCCCCAGAAGTCCATGGTGTCAGCCAAATTCAGGGATAAATTAATAGAATACAGGAGTCACCCATTCCATTAAAAAATAAAACCCTTGGGAGCCACCACAGCCCAACAAAATCCAAGACCGCAGGCAAGACTGCCTCATACTTACGGACGGCTGCCTGGACTGTCAACCTGGGATGAGGTACTGTGAAACACTCCTTCCTTGTTATAGCTGACTGTCCATATCCTTGGAAGGGCAGAGACCTCCTTTGAAAACGGGGGGCTACCATTTCCTTGGGGAATCAGAGACTCAGTTGACCCTAGATGGAGGCCAGGCCCCAACCAAACTTTTGGTGACCTGCCCACTATCGGAGGAATATTCCCTGCAGCTGAAATCAGTTCCTGGTAATATTCCCCACCCCTTGGAGTATCTGTTTTTGCTGAGGCAGAGGTTCCCCCAAGACTGGGCAGAGAAGAATGCACCTGGCCAAGAAGCCCACTGACCTCAAATCATTTTCCAGTTACTGAGCTCAGCAGCTCCTATCAGAGTGAGGCAAAGCATGGAATTATAGTCCACAACCAATTGAGAGAAACAGGAATACCTTTCCCATGTCAATCACCTTGGAACACCTCATTACTGCCAGCCCTGGAGCCTAGGACCCAAGACTACAAGCAGGTACAGGAACTCAGAGAAGTTAATAGGCAGGTGGAGACTATATATCCTACAGTCCCAAACCCCTGTACTCTCCTGAGTCTCCTTCCACCAGAAAAGCAGCTCTATTCTGTCCTGATCTAACACATGCCTTCTCCCAGCCCTTGGGGCCTGTAAGTCAACCCATCTTTGCCTTCGAATGGACTGACCCTGCAGGGGGATACATAGGCAAGTTGACTTGGACTAGACTACCTCAGGGATTTAAGAACTCTCCAACCCTGTTTGACAAGGGCTTGAATACAATTTATTGGAATTCTGCCAAAATTACCCAAACAGCATCCTATTCCAATATGTAGATGACCTTTTAGTCATGACCTCTGTTGCCTTAGTTGCCAAGAAGAAATGTAGAGTAGCAAGTGAAGGACTGTTGGAGACCCGTAAGACCCTGGGGTATAGAATCTCAGTGAAGAAGGGCCAGCTCTGTATGCCCCCATGTCACCTCCTTGGGGTATAACCTTGAGGGAGGGAAACACACCCTCTCCCAGAGTTGCATCTCAGTGATTTTGCAGATTCCTACTCTAGAGAATTTATGGGAACAGTTGACTACTGCTGCTTGTGGATTTTAGGGTTCACTGGAATTGCCAAACCCCTGTATGCTAGTCTGGAGTGGACTAAGACTAAACAGAAGGATGTTGAGTCTTTAAAGAAAGCCCTGTGTCTACACCAGCCTTGGCCCTCCTGGACGTCACAAAACCCTTTCAGTTATTCATGGACAAGGGTACAAGGATAGCAAAAGAGTTCTTACCCAAGCCCTGGGACCCTGAAAGTGGCATGTGGCCTACTTATCCAAAAGGCTGGATCCTATGTCCACTGGCTGGCCAGCCAGTATTCAAGCAGTGGTGGTGACTGCCATGCTTGTGAAAGAGACTGACAAGCTAACTCTCGATCAGGAACTTTTGCTAACTACTCCCCACTGGCTTGAGACCCTCCTGAGGAGCACGCCAGAAAGATGGATGTCCAATGTCTAGGTAACCCACTACCAGGCACTTGTACAGAACCACAGCCTCAACCCAGCAAGCCTGTTGCCCGATGATGACCCAGAATGACCCCTGAATGACTGTATAGAGGTAAACCAACCTGATCCAGGCCACCAGACCAGACCTGACTGATGTTCCACTCCCAGAGGCAGATTGAGGTATTGCACACAGACAAGAAGTTTTGTGAAAGACAGTATAAGGGATGCAGGGACAGCAGTAGTCACAAAAGACTAAACAATCTGGGCCCAGTCCCTCAATTGAGGGACATAGGCACAAAAGGCTGAATTTAATACCTTGGTACAGGCATCGAGATGGGGAGGAGACAAGGCCATAACAGTGTACACAGACAGTCAGTATGCATTTGCTACTGCTCATGCTCATGGATCTCTGTATCAGAAGAGGGCGGTCCACACCTAAACCAGGATGGAGATAAAGAACGAAGAAGAGATCTTCACTTTACTGAAAACCATTTGGCTACCCAAGAAATTGGCCATTGTTCACTGTAAGGAACACCCGAGAATCCGTTGAAGCACAGGAAACAGAATGGCAGATGTGGCAGCCCTAGAACCAGTATGGTCCCTCCAGGTTCTGGTAATGATCCAAAGCCAGATCTGCCTCTTAGACCCTCCTACACATCATAGGAAAAAGAATGGGCAAAGTAGTTGGACTTCAAGCAAGAAGAAACAGGTTGGCTTGTGGTGCCAGATGGGAGACCTGTCATCCTAGCAACCCTGGGAAAGCAGTTGGTGATTCAACTGCACCGGACAACACATCAAGGAGACTCAAAACTTGCTGAATTCCTCGGGCCAAGGTACTACACCCCTAGATTGGACTACATTGTGAAAGTTGTCACAACTAGATGCACTACCTGTGCTAAGGTAAACCCTAAGGGCAGGAAGAAGGGCCCCAGAAGGAATATGGATCTGAGGCACTTTGCCCGGAGAGCACTGGGAACTGGACTATACTGAAATCAAATAAACTGTTTTTAGATACTGATACCTCCTTGTTTTCATGGGCACATTTTAAGGCAGGGCAGAAGCTTTTCCCACCCAGATTGAAACAGCCTCACTAGTCACCAAAAAGCTACTTCAGGAATTAGTTCCTAGGTTTGGCCTATCATTTACTCTGGGGTCCCATAATGGCTCGGTTTTTACAGTCAAAATATCCCCAAATATGGCAAAGGCATTAAATACCAACTGGAAATTACATTGTGCCTATTGGCCAAAGAGCTCAGGGCAAGTAGAGAGGATGAATAAGACCCTAAAGGAAACCTTGACTAAGCTGTTCTTAGAGACAGGCAAAAGTTGCCTCCTTGCCTTTACCCTTCTTAAGACCAGATGGACTCCATACCCTATGAAATCATGTTTGGAAGACCACCACCTATCCTCCCCAAACTAAGAGATATCTCTGGAGCAGAGATTACTAATCACTCCCTTCTCAAGTCATTACAGGCTCTCCAGTCCGCTTAGAAGACTATTCACCAGGTGGTCAGAAGAACAGACACCTAGCGTGGTGCTTAAGCTGATCCACAAGTTCCAATCAGGGGACTTGGTGTGGGTGAAAAGAATTCATGCTCGGACTTTGGAACCAACCTGGAAGGGACCTTATCCCATAATCCTTGCCACACCAATGGCAAAGATGGTGTTCCCTCCTGGATCTACCACACACAGGTGATGGAAGCCGCAGACAACAAGGAAAAATGCACAGTCACCCAAACTTCCAATCCACTAAAGATAAGGCTGCTGCAGGCCCCTCTGTTCTGTGGCCTTTTTTCCTCCCCAGGGGACAGGCAGTTTGTACTAACCACCATCCCCAAACATGGGAGTGGCAACTCAGAAAGATAGGGGATGGAAAGCTCTTGGCCAAGGTTACCACTGATAGTCTTTAAAGTATGTCTACGCTCATTAATAAATTGAAAGTGACACACCCCATTGGGACAGACACAGGCACAAGGAGATGGAGGATGCTGGAACCCTAAGACAGAAAAAAGTTCTCAGTCTATTCAATTCTATGTGTGTCCTGCTACTGCAGGATCCACTTCTGCTGTACTTGTTGGGGTTGTGAGACAGAGGCTTCATGGAAACATGTAGATTCTTATGTCTATGTGAAAGGGGAAAAGACACTTCAGTCCTGTTCTTCAGGCAGTTGTAATTCTCTGATTATCAAAGTTTTTGGCCTGGAGTGCTGTTGGTAATCATGACTGGGAGCCTGGAAGGGCCTGTGGAATTAGACTCTATGTCGATGTTTGGGACTTAGGAGATAAGTTTACCATATAAAGGAGGCACCAACCTCAAGACATTAAGCCCAGAGGTTCTAATTCTGGTTTATTTCTACTAATACCCTAGAGGCCTAAAGATCCCTGGCATCCTCAGGCTCCACTAGTTTACAAGTTCCTCTCATGGTCCAATCCCAGTCCCAACAGCCCCAAATCCCAAAACTCTTCTCTCAATGTTAAGCACACTAGAAAAGGTCTAAATTGTTCTAGCACAAGCCTAGTTTAAGACTGTTGGTTGTGTTTGGATCCGCGACCTCCCTACTATATAGGGGTAAGGACTAACCAGACCCTCACCCCCATTCAAAATCAATTAAGTTGTAATTGAGATCATCCTCAATTCCCCCTGGGGGAAGGAAAGTTCAAGGAACCTGTGTTGTCTCATCTAAGTATGACCTAAAGAAATCTCCCTACACAGATACCTGCTATGCTACCTGTATACACCAAATGCAACAAACCAAAGAGATAGTTATCAGGCTCTGGAGACCACCTGGTTGGCATGCACAAATGGATTAGCGAAGTGTGTAGCCTCTGATATATTGGAGCCAAGAAGGGGGAACCCTCTGTGTATTGGTCCAAATCATTCCTCAAGTATACATCTACAGTGGAAAGAAGGACAAATCCATTTTGATCTAGATGCAGGGCTCATCAGAACTTGAAGGGTCATCCAATTCCTTGTCCCCCTTTTGGTGGGAGCAAGGCCTGCTGGACCAGCAGCCATTGGGGCATCTGCATTAGTCCTAGGAAACAAAAACTGCAGAGAACTAAGGACTCAAATAGATATGGATTTGTGACATTAAAAAAACTCACTTTCCTGACTGAAGAGCCAAGTAGATTCCATAGCAGAGGTGGCCCTTCAGTGACACTGAGGATGGGAACTCATCTTCATGAAATAGACCGTCTCTGCATGGCCCTAGGGAAGACCCGTTGCTTTTATGCTAATCAGTAGGGAATTATTAGAGAAAGCCTTGTCCTAGTTAAAAATAACTTGAAGAACAGGGAGAAAAGAAAACATGAATCTGACAATTGGTATCAGTCTCTGCTTACCTGGTCTCCTTGACTTATGGCCTTAATCCTGGCCCTAGTAAGCCCTTTGGCCCTCTTGCTCCTAGCTTTAACAGTAGGATTGTGTTTGAGCAACTGCTTTATGAATTATTTAGGAAAAGAGTAAATGCAGTAAAGCTAATGGTCAGAAGAAATTAGAAGTAATGATGACCCCTGGCTCCAGAGTGAGTCATCGATTGTACTTACACCCATAAAACCAGTGGAGAATGTAATAGGGATGATCAAACCTCACTGTCTTAGAGTTTACTCAAAGCTTCTGCAACTGCATTTTTGCTTTTGTGACTCCATCTTCAAGAAAGGACTGCATCCCCACCTGTGAGACTAATTCCTTATGGTTTGATATTCAAAGACGTATCTAGATATGTGTCCACAGTTCCAGTTATGTTTCTAGGTAACGGATCATAGAGATGAATTTTATAAATGGGTCAGACTACCCTCACTCAGTGCTTGCTTATAGCATTGTCTAAGCTTCTGAAACTTCACACTTGGCCTGTACTTGCAGGAAAGAATGGTTAGAAAGGGGCTGGGAAGGTGGCTCAGAGGTAGAGTGCTTGCCTTGCATGCATGAGGCCCTGGGTTCGATTCCTCAGCACCACATAAGCAGAAAAAGCCAGAAGTGGCGCTGTGGCTCAACTGGTAGAGCACTAGCCTTGAGCTGAAGAGCTGAGGGACAGCACCCAGGCCCAGAGTTCAGGCCCCATGACTGACAAAAAAAAAAATGGTTAGGGACTTTCTACTCCTGAGCAAACAAGGTCATAAAAAATTTTGCTTATAAGCAGCCCTGAAAGAGGACTAAGGATTGCACTTTGGGTATCCAACTGACCAGTGTAGTCCCAGCCAGTAATCAAGACTTTCTGTTGGCTGTACTCTGTGTCTGTACATCTCTCCTGGTGGCTTAACCTACAACAAAATTGAGTAAATCCTCATTGCTTACAACATTGTAGAAATCTTCACCACAAGTGATAAGGAATTGTTCTTATAATGCCTCATCAGTTCCCGCCCTCCCCAGGTGCCTTGCCCTCACCTTATTGGGTAAAGTCCAGTCAACTTCCTCTTGCAGCTTCTTTTGGACATTAGAGTGAAGGGCCAATAGATACATAATGAAAGAAAGAGTGACACTGGTGGTCTCGTGGCCACCAAAAATAAAGATAGTTGATTGGGCTGCTATCTCCAGGTCAGTTAGACCTAAAGGGAGGAAAACATATATTTTAGGCAAAGACAGTCAGTACAGAATGTCACAATCATGGTTTAAATACATATACCTATGGATAAGTCATAGAAAAGCAATGTAGTAGCCAGGCACTGGTGGCTCACATCTGTAATCCTAGCTACTCAGGAGGCTGAGATCTGAGGATCATAGTTCAAAGCCAGCCCTAGACAGGAAAGTCTGTGAGACTCTTACCTCCAATAAACCACTCAGAGAATGGGAAGGGGCACTGTGGCTCAAGTGCTAGAGCGCTAGCTTTGAGCTGAAGAGCTGAGAGACAACACCTAGGCCCAGAGTTCAAGCCCCACGACTGACAAAAAAAGAAAGAAAAAAAATCAATGTAGTGTCTTGTCATCACGTCTGACAAGAACCAAAGGGAAAAAAATAAATTTAATCCAGTTTCCCAAAGGTTCATACTACCATTGCCCATCTCGTCTGAGTTCTCTATGATTGCCACTTACAGCAGGGTCATTTAAGGGGTTCTGTGAGAACCCCTGGAGCTGAGCTTTAAGACCTGGAAAAGGTTAAGAGATCAAATACCATCCCTGCCAGCATTCAGAAGGCTGAGAGGTGTGCCCAGGAAATGTCAAACAGTCAAAGCAGACAGAGGTAAAAATTACTGCCCTAAGTGTGTTTAAATTAGAGCTGTTTGGGATGAGATTCTGGGCTAATATTGCAATGTTTATTGCCTCCCTCTGCTTCCTAAGACAAGGAAGTTAATTATCACTTATGTGCAAATCAGCCTTTTAGTCTTTTAGCACATATCTTCAGTCCCCAACCGCTGAACTAAACTTAATAAAAACACTTGGTAATGGAATCTCAGGATCTGACGGCAGGAATCGCTTCATGTCCTCTGGTCCCCCAAAATCTCAGTTCTTTGGCTCAGTCTTCCATGATTATTGCCCCGGTGCAGCAGATTGCCACAGTATTCTATCTAACCAGCACTTTCAGAGCGGTGCGACTCCATCCATTTGGCTGGGGGACATTGCATGCACATACGGAAACATCATGATGAAACACATTTGTACAACTAGTATACCCTAATAACAATAGAAAGAAAAGAACATGAGGGATGTTTTCCATTGAAGCACATTTGAAGGCTGTAAAGGAACCATAAAGATCTAAGGGTGCAGAAATCAATACACTGCCGGGTTCAAGTGGCTTATTCCTGTAATCCTTGCTACTCAGGAGGCTGAGAGCTGAGCATCAAAGTACAAAGCCAGCGTAGGCAGAAAAGTCCACAAAACTCTCATCTCTAATTAGCCATCCAAAAGCCATTAGTGGAGCTGTGCTCAAGAGGTTGAGGGCCAGCTTTGAGCAAAAATATAAATGCCCAGGCCCTGAGTGGAAGCCTCAGGACTTGCACTCAAAAAAGAAATCAATATAATATGGTTGGATTGTAAGAGAAGAGGTACAGGAGCATATGGAAAATCTCTTTATATTCAGCTCAATTGGCTATGAAGCTACAAATTCTCTAAAATACCATCTACTTAAAAACGTGGAGAAGAAAAGACTCAGAAGCCCACTTGAAAGGATTTTCAGTGAACAAACATGAAAAAAGTTGAGTTTCAAAATAAATGATGATAGGAAGACAATAATTGTCTCTGTGTGTGTGTCTGTCTGTGTGTGTGTTTATCATTTCTAGGGCTTGAACTCAGGGCCTGGGCTCTGTACCTTAGTGCTTGATAGTGCTCGACCACTTCAGTAACCGATCTACTTCTGGCCTTTGGGTGATTTGTTGTTGATCAGATTCTCACGAACTTAACTGCCTGGGCTGGCTTTAAACCTTGATGGTTAAACCTTGCATAGCTAGGAGGGCAGGCATGAGCCACTGGCACCTGGCTGTAAATGTAATATCTAAGGTCATGGTAATGAGCATGTGATTCCCTTTGGCTGCCCTATGTAATAGCAGAGTTTGAGCCATTCTGAAATTCTGCAGAAATGTACCTCTATATGGAAAGTGGACTTCACATTTCTCTCATGAGTAGACCCCAAAGAACTCCCGTTACCTTTGGGGGACTCTGTGTCTTTGGAATTCTGGGAGTTAATCATCAGTTGCAGTAAATCCACTTGGTGCTAGAAAGAAGACACAAATTTCAAAGGCAGAAGATCACCCATGAAATGAGAAGTAAATCAGAAGGGCAGAGCTTAGCTTTCTTCTATGAATATGACCCATGTAACCATAAGTCTTTCTTTTTTCTTTTTTTTCTTTTTTGTCAGTCTTGGGGCTTGACTTCAGGGTGTGGGCACTGGCCCTGAGGTTTTTGGCTCAAGGCTATCACTTTACCACTTTGAGCCACAGCGTCACCTCTGGTTTTCTGGTGGTTAATCAGGGGTGAGTCTCATGGCTTTTCCTGTCTAGGCATGCTTAGAATCATGATCCTCAGATCTAATCTCAGTCTCCTGAGTAGCTAGGATCACAGGCACGAGCTACTGATGCCTGGCCACAGATCTTTCTGACGTTGCTTGAATCACCAGTGAATGAGAATATTCATCTATAAACTTTGGAGGGACCAGGATCTTTTCCTAAAAGAAAGCCAGCTGTCCTACCAACAGCTTTTGGTCTTTGCTCTCCCCAGCTCTGACATTCTCTGACTTCTAAGAGCAAACTGTTGGTCCAGGCAGGATGTGGCTTCTTCTCCCGTCACATCTGTTTGCTCACAAGCAACACCAGGACTTCAGTCTTTTATTGTGTGGACATACTTATTAATGGATAGTCCCAAAGATTAACTTTTTAGAGCAAGCATCTGGAAACACATCACCATCTGGAATGAACAAATTTTTCAGTTATATCTGGAGGAACCCAGTGCTGCCTTCCTGCCCTACAGACATCTTTGTTTGATGTCTAAGCTGTATGAATCAGATATTCAGACAGGCCTTCAGGGGCTCACATAGCCAATGTGAAGCTTGGAAATAACTTAATTCTCTCATTCTCTCTGTGTGCATGCATCTCTCTGTGTCTCTGTCTCTCTCTGTGTGTCTCTCTGTCTCTCTCTCTCTATGTCTCTATCTCTTTGTATACTAGTACAGGACTTGGTTTCTGTTCCTTTACTTGCTCTCTAGCTGGCATTGTACCAGTTGAGCCACTTCTGACTAATTGAAGATAAGAGTCTCATGGATTTCCTGCCCAAGCTGGCTTCAAACTGCAATCCACAGATCTGATCTCAGATTCCTGAATAGTGAGCATTGCAGGTATGAACCATGGGTTCCTGGTGCTTATCATTTCATTTTAAATTCTTTCTTTCTGATTTATATTACATCTCCATTCCTAATCACTGCATTCTTCATTCTCCCTTCCAATCTAAAAATTTGTGACCCCACCCTAGAATTTTTTCATCTATCTCAACATAGTTTTTTTTCATCTAACTTTAGAAAAAGACAGAGAGTTACATAAAACATACATTTAAAGCCAAATAACTTTGAACCACGAACATCCTTAAGTAACCATCACCAGCTTTTACCTTCGTTTTGTCTTTGAGGTGACTTTCTTTCATCCTTTCTACAGAAGTTCTTAGGAAATCTGTAACATCCTTTGGAAACACACTGATATTTAATGCCTCACAAATGGGTGTAAGGAATGGAAAGAGTACCACAGGAGAAAGCAAGAAGAAATAACAAATTGTGCTGTCTACACCATGGAATTTTATTCAGCCATACAAAGAAATAAGGTACTAATACATGCCCCACGAGGGAGGAAACTTGAAAGCATAATACAGAAGCCAGACACAGTTATAAACAGTGTCCAGAATAGGCAGTGAGAAAATAGGTAAGTGATCATTCAGGCCTGAGAGAAGTAGAAGAGTACAAGCTAAAAAGTACAGGCCTCCTTCCTTCTTTCTCTCCTTTTCTTTTTCCTTCTTCCCATCCTCCATTTTTCCTTCTTTCCTTCCTATTTCCCTCCCTCCTTCCCCTTTTTCCTGTCGCCCTCCTTTTCTTCCTTATTTCCTTCTTTACGTTCTTCTCTCTCTTTCTTTCTATCTCTCCCTCACTCTTTTTCCTTCTATTTATAGAAGGCTTGAACTCAGGCCCTAGGCTCTCTCTCTAGGGTACTTTTTTTCTCAAGGCAGGTGCCTTACCACTTGAACCATAGCTCCATTTGGGAATCAGAGTCTCACAGATTTTTCCTGCTCAGGGCTGGCTTCAAACCACCGTTCTCAGATCTCAGACTCCTGATCAGCTAGGATTATAGGTGTGAGACACTGGCATCCAACTAAGGTACAAGGTTTTTTTGTGATAAAATATTCTGTAATTGACAGTGATCATGACCACATATGTCTTTAAATATAATGAAAAATCATTGAGTTATACAGTTTACTGAGATATGTATGTGTATGAATGAATTGTATCTCAATGAACTATCTTTTACTGAGGAAGAGAGAAAGATAGAAATAGACAGAGAGAGGGAGGAAGGAAAGGAGAGGGAGAGAGAGGGGGGAAGGAAGAGAGGTCCACGGACCTATTGAGAGAACTATTGGATCACATAAATCAAATTTTAGGAGTCTCTTGACTTTTTCCACAAAACAGTCCTGTGGGTTGTTGAGAGAATTGATGTTTACCCCAAATGATGTCCCTGTGATCACATCTAGGCTGTAGGCCCCAAAGATGCTGAAGCAGAGAAAAACAGAATCATTAAAACTTAAATTTCTTTTTCCCATTCTCTCTCCTTTCTGCTACACAAGGAGCAAAAAGTGGCAACAAATTCCTGTGTCAAGACAGGACAGTCCCAAGCCTTTCTCTGTCAGAACTGCTTGAGGGGTCGTTGGAAGGGTCTGGCCTTCCTCTTCTGCCTCCCTGCCTCTGCCTAAGGTATTTACCTGGCAAGAATGGTTCCACAACCCTTGGGCTAGGGTTGGTAGGACAATTAGGTGGGTCAGACTCACTTGGGAGCTCAAGGAACTCAGTCTTAGAAAACAAAGAGCTCCCCAGACAAATCACAGTTGTACAAATACTCTGTAGATGATAATAGATTACAGTAGATAGTAGTGGATTATAATAGATAATAGATTGGTGCTCGGGCAGGCCATGGGTGGAGTAATAATTCTCTCTCTCTCTCTCTCTCTCTCTCTCTCTCTCTCTGTTTTTGGTGTAGGTATTGGAGCTTTAACTCAGGGGCTGGGTGCTGTCCCTGAGTTATTTTTGGTCAAGCCTAATGCTTTATCACTTGAGCCACAGCTCTGCTTCTAGATACTCTGAGGGTAGTTTATTAAACATAGGAATTTCACAGACTTTTTTTTTGGCTGGTTCTGGCATTGAGCAGTGGTCTTTAGACCTCACTGCCCTGAGTAGCTAGGATTACAGGTGTGTGCTACCACTGCCCAGAAAGTACTCACTCTTTCAACATGAGAGGTTTGCCTTTCTCTGCTTGTGGTCTCAGGTTTTCCAGCAACCAACCAGATAATTCGCGAATGATAGGGAACATCTAGGCACAAAACAAGAGAAGTTAAAAGAGAAGAGTTAAATCTGAGTCCATGCCCCCCAAAAAAGATGAAGCATGACATCCCATTTATGAGAAACCATGTAACTGTAGGACATAAGGACAAAACACCATTTTGGAAAAGGACCCTGATCTGACTGTTTGCTTGTTCCCCCGATTCATTGTAACTTAGCACCGGTTGATTACCTCCTTTAGTTTCCCACTGGGGAACATGGGGGAAAGCAATGTTCTTAGTTTTTTCCATTCTTTGTCCTCAGAGATGGAGACAGCTTTTTTCATAAATCCAGCTGGGCCAAAAGGCTAGCCTCTAAAGAAAAACAGATTTTGCTTTCTGTAAATTTGAAGATTTTTCACAGTTGTATAAAATTGATGAATTGGCAGCATTTAATTGAAAATCTATGGCCTTCTATAAAAAAACTCAACAAATATTTATCCTAAATGCCAGGTTCCATGGAAGACTAAAAGATGCACCCAGCAAGCTATGCTTTTGGGATTTCATATTCTAGACCTATTTATATATCTATGTACTGATCTATCAATTTGATTGATTACATTATATAGGAATTATATATTCATTCTCTTTTTTACAATATTTTATAAACAAAAGAGATTTGGGGCTGGGAAGGTGGCTCAGTGGTAGAGTGCTTGCCTTGCATGCATGAGGCCCTGGGTTCAATTCCTCAGCACCACATAAGCAGAAAAAGCTGGAAGCGGTGCTATAGCTCAAGTGGTAGAGTGCTAGCTTTGAGCTGAAGAGCTGAGGGGCAGCGCCCAGGCCCCGAGTTCAGGCTCCATAACAGACCAAAAAATAAATAAAAATAAATAAATAAAATAGTTTAAAAAAAGAGTTTCAATTTAACATATTGATTCATGAGCACAATGTGTCTTGATCAATAGCACGCCTTTCATTATTCTCCTCTGCCCTTCTCCATGGGTTCCCCAGAGCTTGTAATTATTTCATAATTAAAAGCTAGATAAATAAATATTTTGTTGATAAATAAATATTAAAATGTCTTAAGAAAAAAAAAGGATGCCTACCCGGCGGTTTGCGAAGGTAGTGTAGCATTCTTTCCCCAGCACTGTTTTGATCATGTCTGGATCTAAATTGCTTCCAGAGCTGCTGACCATCATACAACCTGAGTGCAAACACAGCCGAGTGGAAAACCTAACCAGCCAGCAGCCTAACCTGCTGCTGGAGACAGGACAAAGAAATCCAGACCATGATCACATCCCATTTCAACATGTGGCAAAGTTAGCTCAAGCTAGGGATTTTGAACACAAAAGCCACAGGTGTCCACAAAATAAGGGCTAATGTGGCTTATGCACAGAAGAGATACCTAAAGACAAAACAGCTTTGCAAACAGGTCATCATTACCGGGACGTTTAGTGAAGTCCAGGTGGTGTTTTGTCTAGGTGAGTGTTGTCCATGCCAGTCACCATGGTTTTTAATATGTTTCAAATATTGTAACAAGTTGGGTGCTGGCAGCTCACACCTGTAATCATGGTGGCTCCTCTGAGGATCTTGGTTTGAAGACCACCTGGGCAGGAAAGTCCATGAGACTCTTATCTCCAATTAATTACCAAAAAAGACACTGGTGGTGCTATGCTCAAGTGGTCGAGCTCTAAATTTGAGCAAACAAAAAGCACAGGAACAGTGCCCATGCCCTGAGTTCAAGCCCCAGTACTGTCACAACATATACACACACAAACATTGGTGACAGACGAGTCCTTCATAAGAAAAAGCCTACAATTGACTTCATATTTCATCCATGTTAGGATGAGGTTAGGGATTGATAGTGTGTCCACATAATGCATTCTCTTATCTTCACAAATCTGCCCCATGGAAGTTTCCCGAGTACTGATCCCTAAAGTTTTCCATTTTTAATAACATTCTACATCAAAAACTGCAATGCCCTGGGAAGAGAAACAAAGATAGGTTTTACATGTATAAGACCTCATCCAAGTACACTCCCCTTGATCACATACTGGAACAAGTTTGGACCTGTAGTATGTCACGTGGAAGCAGCTTTCATACGGGCATCTCTTGGGGAGTGGGGGCAAGCCTATACTCCTTCAAGTTTCAATTCCCAGGTCATGTTTCTCTAGTAGTTAAGATTACAGATTTGAGTCACAGTAACCAGCTGACATCCAATCTTTTATCTTCTCATGCAACTTCTTTCTTGTTTACTGAATGAGGTTCCTGGAGTTGGGATGTTCAATTCACCAATTTTGGCATAGAAACTTAATAAATGGCTCTGGCAAAAGTCAAAGCGTGAGTGAAGGCAAAGTGAACTTGCCTTTAAGAACATCTGCTCAGCTGGGTGCCAGTGCCTCACGCCTGTAATCCTAGCTACTCAGGAGGCTGAGATCTGAGGATCACAGTTCAAAGCTGCCAGGGCAAGGAAAGTCCGTGAGACTCTTAACTCCAATAAACCACTCAGAAAACTGGAAGTGGTGCTGTGGCTCAAGTGGTAGAGCGCTCACTTTGAACTGAAGAGCTGAGGGACGGCGCTCAGGCCCAGAGTTCAAGAACCATGACAGACAAAAAAAAAAAAAAAAGAACATCTACTCAATATGAAAAGATAAAAGTGATATCACCTTTACCCATAGAACCTCACAAATTAAACACTTCCTCTGAGGTTTTACTTCTGAAGCTCAAAAGAAAAACAACAACAAAACAGAAATCTTCCTGGTAGGAATTATCCATTGTGGCATTTATTTTTCCGATGTGAGGCTTGAATTCTGGGCCTGAGCTAAAAGTGGCTGGAGTCCTTAGGATCCCCAACATTCAGTGGATAGATGGCAAAAGTTAACAACCTTGTTTTGAGCGCTCTTATAAGATTCAAACTAGAAATTTCCAAGTCATTTATTTACATGTGCCATCCGATGTGGACAGTCAGGGTCCATAAGTACCTCTTGGAGCTCTGACCTTAAAAGAGAGGAATATTCCCTTGCTTCCTTCTAAATCTTACCTGGTTGTTGCTGATGTCATTATTGGCTCACCTTCTTCCTACTCACCTCCACAGAACGACTAAGATAAACTGCTGGAGAGGAATGTCAATATACAAGGGAGATTCTTGCTTATACACCCTTATTACAGCTCTATTGACAATAGCCATGCTGTAGAATCAGCCAAGTGCACAATAACCAATGAATAGATAATCATAAGCGCAGGCACTATGGAATATTACTGTGCTAAGTGGAAATCATGTCACTTGCAGCAAAATAAAACTGGAAAGTGTCCCATTCCAGAAGCAAAATAGTGCATACTATCGGTCATCTGCAAAATGATCATGATAATGAAGATGAGGGTGATGATGATGGTAGTGATGATCATGATGATAATATAAATGATAGAAATAAGAATAGGACATAAATAAAAGGAGGATTGTCTGGGTGGATTTGTGAAATGGGAAGGGAGGAAAGGAGAGGATACTGGTGATTGAAGAATATTGATAGATATTTCACGTGTTACACATGCTAGATTTTGTGTGTGTGTGTGTGTGTGTGTGTGTGTGTGTGTGTGTATAAAGATAACACAATGAGCATACTAAACATTATTTGAAAAAGTAGAGGGAGGTAGGAAAAGAGGAAGGATAGGATGGAAGAAGTGAACATGTTCAAATGTTATTGCACCCATGTATGAAATTATATTACTAATGTATGCTCAAAAGTTAAAGCAAACTTAAACTTCAAATGAATTAAAACAATGTGCTTATCAGATAACTTTCAAAATATGCATGTAGCAGGGCACCTGGTGGCTGTCTGTAATGCTCGCTATGCAGGAGGCTGAGATCTGAGGACTGTGGTTTGAAGCCAGCCTGGGCAGGTTAGTCTATAAGACTTTTTTTTAGGTCATGGGGCTTGAACTAGAGTCCTGGCCACTGTTCCTGAGCTCTTTTTGTTCAAAGCTGATGCTCTATCACTTTGAGCCACAGCACCACTTTCAGCTGTCTGGTGGTTAACTGGAATTAAGTCTTATGGCCTTTCCTATCCAGCCTGGCTTTGAACCATGATTCTAAAATCTCAGCCTCCTAAGCAGCTAACACTACAAGCGTAAGCCAGCAGCTTCTTTCTGTAAGACTCTTCTCTTCAATTAACCACCAAAAAATTCACAAATGGAACTGTGGCTCAAGTGGTAGAATGATAGTTTTAAGTAAAAAAGCTCAGGAATTGTGCCTAGGCCCTGAGTTCAAGCCCCAGTTCTGGCACCAAAGCAAACCAACCAACCAACCAACAAACAAACAATAAAGACCTTCCACCCCAAGTATCCTGAGCTCTCTCCAAGAGTGAGCAGTTGTTCATATTCTGCTTCTGCTGAATTGAGGTATTAATATAGGCACAAACATCAACTCAGAGATAATTTCCAAATGATGCCACTAACCCCTTTCTTCACACAGAAATTGGGAGTTCCATGAGAGAAGAATATTTATTAACTCTCTCATTGGATCTCTGCAGGATAAATAATAACCTCTCAAGGTGTAGGCTAAATCTGACTTGAGTAATTTCCCATTCATTTTTCTCTTTAGATCTTCCCAATTGATCAACCATCATAATCCTCACCCTGAATCCTGGGTTACCTGGTGGCAGGTGAGCAGAGTCTAGACTCCTGGTAGCCAGGAGGACCCAGGTTTCTATGGAAAAGTGGGGGATCAAGTCCATTGTCACTCTTGTCTAGTAATTTTCTCCTCTGACTTTTCCTTTCAGCTGTGGGTTGTGCTAGCTGCAGAGCTGATGCTGCTGAGCCCCCCTCAGTGCCCAGCTCTGATGAGGGAGCTGAGGCTCCTGCAGATCATGGGATGGAGCAGAGGTGGGGCTTATGGTACATGACCTAAAATAGCCCCACGACCTAAAAAAAAAAAAACAACCCAAAACAAAAACCAAGTCTTACAGACTAACTTGCCTAGGCTGGCTTCAAACCACAATAGGCAAATCACAGCCAACTTACCTGTACCCTACCCACTCCATAGGTGAGTGAGGCAGATGTCCTATCCTGCTTTTGGAAGTAGACAAGGAATCATGGATGTGTGTACTTTGGAATTAGACTTCACATTTTATAAATATTATCAGTAAACACACTCAATCACTGCTACCATTAGGACAGTAGGTTATGGAATGCCTCGCGAAGAGTCAAGTGCAGCCATTGGCTCTTCTAAGCTCTTATCACCAAGGTGGCTCTTATTCCCAATACTTGAAACTACACCCAAATCAATGATATCCACAGATGTTTACAAATGCAGTTACTTCTCATGACATGATTTTTTTCTTTGAAGAAGGGGTAATTTCTCTGTAAGTTGAGAACATGCCCCAAGAGCTGCCCTTAGAGACATGGCTCAGGTGCTAGAGTGCCAGCCAATGAACAAAGCATCAGATACTAAGGTATAGTTCTGGTCTTGGAGCAAAAAGAACAGGGTAAAAAAAGAATAGTCTAGAAAGAGCAATCATTACGTGTGACCCCTTCTTGATCCTCTGGTTGCTGATGGAAGAGATGTCCCAACTAGTTGTTTATGAATTATACTGGTACATGACCTTAATTCTGATCCATATTCTATATCAACTTATTTTGAGACTTGAAGGATCAAGTGACAGACTTAAAAGCTCCTAAAACACAAAACTAATAGAAAGCTTTCCATCTGGGCTTTCATCTATCTATCTGTCTATCTATCTATCTATCTATCTATCTATCTATCTATCTATCTATCTATCTATCCATCTATTCCTTTTTTCCTTCCTCATTCTGATAGGCAGAAACTGACATTTACCTTTTAGAATCTCTTGTTCTACAAAGGAGAATGCTATAACACTGTGGTGGGGAAGTGGTACTGTGGCTCAAGTGGGAGAGCGCTTGCGTTGAGCTGAAGAGCTGAGGGACAGTGCCCAGGCCCAGATTTCAAGCCCCATGACCAACAAAGAAAAAGATGTATCCTTCCCAAGTACTCTTCTCTCTTCAGCTTCTGAAGTTCACTGCTCCCGCTGTTGGTGGGAGTGCAAACTTGTCCAACCACTCTGGAAAGCAGTATAGAGGTTCCTCAAAAGACTAAACATAGAGCTCCCCTATGATCCAGCAATCTGCCTCCTGGGCATTTATTCAAATGACCACAAACAAGGCCATACTAAAGCTACCACCACAACCATGTTCATTGCAACAATAGTTACCATAGCTAAGATAAGGAACCAACCCAAATGCCCCTTAGTAGATGAATGGATCAAGAAGATATGATATATATACACAATGGATTTCTATGATTCCATCAGAAAGAATGAGATTGTCCTATTCATAAGGAAATGGAAAAACTTGGAAAAAATCACATTAAGTGAAATAAGACAGACCCAAAGAAAAGCAGGTTGCATGATTTCCTTCATTTGTAAGAACTAGAGTATGTCTATTATCTATCTATCTATCTATCTATCTATCTATCTATCTATCTATCTATCTATCTATCTATCTATCTATATATCTGTCTGTCTGTCTGTCTGTCTGTCTGTCTGTCTATCTGTCTCTAGTGGGGCTTGAACTCTTGGCCTGGTTGTCCCTCAGCTCGTCAGCTCAAAGCTAGCACTCTACCACTTGAACCACAGCGCCACTTCCAATTTTCTGGTGGTTAATAGGAGATAAGAGTCTCACAGACTTTCCTGCCTGGGCTGGCTTTGCACCATGATCCTCAAATCTCAGCCTTCTGAATAGCTAGGATGACAGGCGTGAGCCACCAGCACCCAGTGTCTACGATGTTCTTAACAGGGGATCACAATAATTCAATTGCTTAGTGCACAGGACCATATACAATGGAAGGTATCAACATGAACTCCATAATTCAATTGCTTAGTGCACAGGACCATATACAA